AGGTGAACTGAGTGGGGTTATTTTGGTGTGGTAGTAGGTAGGGGTCGTTCTGATCCACACTCCAGTCTGGAAGATGGCGGTAATGCACCTAAAGGTGGTTGCCAACTGCCATTAAGAGACACCTGAAGAAGAAAAAGAAGAAAAACAAGGCCATTTGAGGGCACCGTAGACGCAGAGTACGAGCAGTTTCCAGCAATGCAGTTTTACTTTGTTGCTGGGGTTAGCACATCAGTATTTATACTAGAATTGGCTTTTGGAGCTAACCATGGAGGCCAAGTTAAAGAAAGAGCTGGGAACAACTATGCTGAAGTCAACTGGTTATTCAAGAGGTGGATGCATCAGCCAAGGCCAGAGTTATGATACTGACAATGGGAGAGTGTTTGTTAAAATAAATCATAAAAGTGGGGTAATATTATTTTATCATTTTTAAAAATATATTTTAATGTATTGCATATGTTCTAGTTGGTGGCTGGTTCACCATAGGATTTGCTTCAGCAGCTAGAGTCCATCTGTGCCACTGCTCACCAGACCAAACTATGTTTCTGTTGTGTTCAGGCCCAAGTAATGTTTGATGGGGAGATGGCCAGTTTGGAAGCAATTTTAAAGACAGAAACTGTTAAAGTCCCCAAGCCTGTGAAGGTGATTCAGCTTGACACAGGAGGATGTGCATTTGTGATGGAACATCTGGACATAAGAGGTCTTAGCAAGTAAGAGCTCTCTTACGTTATTTGTTTAGTACTGTATCCGTACCACCACTGTATGCAGGTTAGAGTGGAAGGAGACATGAAAATATAGTATCTTATTTGTTCTTTTTAAAAATTAACTGCATTATTTTTGACCCCAATATGCAGGTACTCACAGCACTTAGGGGAGCAGCTGGCAGATCTGCATCTTCACAACAAGAAACAGTTGGAACAATTAAATAAAGAGCAGCAGACAGTAGGTAATTCACCTCCCTTCACACTTTTTCACTTTAGTTCACACGAAGTCAAATGCAAAATCACCTTTGATCTTGTTTGCCAGTACTGTATAGCAGTTAACTCTCAAATATTAACTCTGAGTTAGTTACATATTCATATGAGATTTCCAGTGTACCTCATTTGATTGTACACAGGAAAGGGTGTCGGGCACTTGGAGGCTCCTGTTGTTGAAAAATTTGGATTTGATGTAACTACATGCTGTGGATATATACCACAGGTAAAATATCTGTGCACTGTAAGTGTACTGTATTCTCTAAGCTGTAGTACATTTGTATACAGTATTATGGTCTCTAAGTCATTGAGATGTTATAGTCTTTTTTTACCCAACCTCCCCAGGTAAATGACTGGCAGGATGACTGGGTGACATTTTTCTCCCAGCAAAGGCTGCAGCACCAGCTTAACATGGTGGAGAAATCTTATGGAGACAGAGAGGTCAGAGAACTATGGGCCAAGCTACAGGTACACCTTCCCATTGACCGCATCAGAAACAAAACATACTTTACATACGTCTTTAGGGTTGTATTAATAATCTGACTGTGCACCTTACATGTTGTGTCTGTTATTTCTAGCTGAAGATTCCTCAGTTTTTTACAGATGTGGTGATTGTCCCTGCCCTCCTCCATGGAGATTTATGGAGAGAGAATGTGGCAGAGTACACAGAAGGGCCAGTCATCTTTGACCCCTCCTCCTTTTATGGTCATTCAGAGCTTGAGCTGAGTATTACAGGGATGTTCGGTGGCTTCCACAGCTCTTTTTATTCTGCTTACCATAACAAGATTCCTCAAGCACCAGGGTTTGCAGAAAGAAACCAGCTTTACCAACTCTTTCATTATTTGAATAACTGGAACCACTTTGGTGATAGCTACAGAGAATCTTCAGTAAGGATTATGACAGACCTACTGAAGTAACATGATTGTTCCACTAAATGCAGTAGGTTCCTCTGTATTTTATCTACAGATGTCATGCAGACTGACACACTCTGTACATCTCCAAAATGTTGCTGTTCAATAATTTGCTCTCTCCTGTTTAACCAACAATAAATTTTGGGGTGATCCAAAGTATCTGTCCTGACCTTCTGTGTAAATGAATAAAAGCTTCTCCCAGTGTTTGTCAGTTTTAAATTTCCAGTCCTGAATAAACAATATTTAATGTCATCTGTATTTTTTCAGGTTTCAAATGTCAGACTTGTTAAGGAACATTAAATGTGATAGTATTTACACATACACATTAGCTAACAATAAATCAGAATTATGCGTAGGGACAAATTCGTTTACATGAATCTACTGGCCTGTCACGTGTCTGTCCTACATAGGAACCTTCTCGCTTGCCGTACCCGGGGCGGGGTGTGGTTTAGACGCTTGGTTGTGGAGCATCATAACAGAGATGAGCAATAGTGCTTTGGTTTTTATAAGTGAACTTAATATCACTTGGAGCATAGTCATTTTGCACGATAATGGTCTTAAGACCAAGTCCATGTAGTAGCTATATGTTATAAATGAACAAATCCAGTCGTTTCCCAGGCTGATTTCCGTGCAAGACGGTTCATTTTGCTAGGCTAGCCTTAAATGTTAATATTAGCTTGCTAACTGGTGCATAACTAAATCTGCAACAAAGACTCTTTGGAGATAACAGCCTGACACAATGGCCTTATCAGACACAGAGAATGAATGTGGCGAAGCAGACGCTGTTGTTAAAATGTGTGTCTTGGGCGGCTTTAGTGAGAGCAGCGAGGCCAGAGGTCTGATCACCAGCCTGCCGGAGGCCGAAGGCGACACGGCGACAAGCGAGGCTGTTGTACAGAGGTTTCTGGGTAAGACAGACGTCGGCAGTTTAGCTACTTGAATCCTTAAATAAACAATTTTTCATCAGTGCTTTGGGTGGGTGATTTTAGCGTGTTTGCAGTTCATTACACTGCCTTTTCCCCCGTATAGTCATAATGAACAGATACCAAGAGCAGCCTCATCTGCTGGACCCACATCTAGGTACATTATTATATGTATGCCTTTGAATTCAGTTGCTATTCTGTAGATTCATTTGGAGACTCCCACTTTTAAAAACTTCAATTTCGTGTTTAGAATGGATGCTGAGCCTGATACTGGATTTTGTAAGGAGTGAGAAGTCTCCCCCTTCACTGGTGCATTTAGGCTTCAAGTTTCTCTACATCATCTGTAAGGTCAGTAAAACAGGACTCTTGCTGACATTAGCTTTCCAAGTCAGTGAAAAGCCATGAGACCACACTGCATGGAGGAAGTCCTGTGGCTCAGGTCTTTTTGGCAGTACCTGGAATTTGGCCATGTACTCCCTGATCATGTGCTTCATACACAGTTATGTTTACAGTCTGTTTTGTCATTATGATTGTCCATACCATAAGTCTACCTTGTACTCTACTGATATACACATGATATCTTTCATGTTGAAGTCAGGTAAATACACCAGGGGTGTTTTTTATGTTCCCCCATTTGTAAGCTAATAGAAGCCTTTATTAGTCCCACGATGGGGAAATTCACAGCAGCAAAGGGATAGAAACAGACACAGTTAAGAATCAAGAAGTAACAGATAAGGTATTATCAATATGAATATAAACAATTGTACTTATAATAATAAAAAAGTAAGACAATTTGATGAGAGGATTTAAGGACAGGTGGTGTCCTACGCTATATACATTGTAAAGCCCCTTGTAAAAAAAAAAAAATGGTGATAATGGGATTTATAAATAACATCTAGAATTTGACTTTAATTTGAACTTTCATTTTGCAGACTCAGCCAAGTTAGCCACATCATTTTGTGACCTTGCTTGGTGATACAGGCCCCAGAGTTTTATTTATTTATTTCTTCTTCTGGCTAGGTCAGAGGTTATAAAATCTTCATGCAGCTTTTTCCTCATGAGGTGGCAGATGTCCATCCTGTTTTGGACCTGCTGTCCAGACAGGATCCCAGAGACTCAGAGGTGAGACTAATATTACTTTTCAAGGTTTAAAAAAAATAGACCTTCGCACTGTCACACCCCTGTGCATTTGTCTCTACAAATCTGGCATATATTAGTTTTGTTGTTAGCTTTACTTATAATATGTTTTACCATGTATTCATTAAAGACATGGGAAACCCGCTACATGCTGTTGTTGTGGCTGTCCATGGCCTGCCTCATACCCTTTCACCTTTCTCGTCTGGACGGCCATCTGGAGTCAGACAGTGGCAAGACCAGGGAGCCCATCATGGATCGCATTCTAGCTATTGCAAAGGCAAGTTAAGTATATGATATAATCTTGATTCTGTTTTGCCTTTTTTTTGAGAGATTGGTCTGTATGTCTAATTCTTGTATCCCATAATGGCTTGATTTGTCATAGGATTTGATCTTAAGAAATATGTGAGTGAATAAACATGTCTAAAAGTTTGGCATCAGTAGTTGTGTGATGTTTATGACAGAGAATTCTATTTCCTAATATTCTGACCCTCTCATTATGTGGCTGGGGCGATAAAAATATAAAGACACCTATAAATATAATGTAGTCCAGTACAACACCACCTTTATCTTCCATGATATACCTCCATGATAAACATATAATTGACAGTTTTATCAAAAACTGAAACATTTTGAACTCATCAGTACATCTCCTAATCCAAAATTAGGGAAACCAAAGAGAGACCTTCAGTAGGACAATGACATCTGAACTGAACTTTTAGCCCTCTAATATTTGTGGATTTGTTTGTAGTTGCTCCTACTTTCTGATGATTTTAACAGGCATGTTATCACACAGTTTGAATTAAAAGAATTTGTTTTTTCAGTCTTATCTAGTTGTCACGGACAGTCCCAGGTATGCCGCATCTGTACTGATATCAAAGTAAGTGCACAAACACCACACAGGTAACAACATAGTATTTTAATTTTGTTGCTTCCAAAACTATCAGTTTCATAGTTTGAAACAAAGGTTAAATGAAGCCTAATTATTGTGCATAGATTTGAGGTTGGATCAGCAAGTCTGAACTCTTTTTGGTCTATATATCAATGTACATCAATGCCAAATGGTAAGCACCAAATGTAATCTAGGTAAAGTTATTAACTGTAATTGCTTTTCTAGCCAAGAGAGGGCAAAGTTGATCTTCGAATGTCTTAATGGGTGTCTTTGTTGATCCACATTGCTTTCTTGCCTCACTGTGCATGACTGTACAGGTTCATGACACGCCCTGATGTGAAACAGAAGCGCCTTGGAGACTTTTTGGACTGGAGCCTCACCACTATATCCCAGACCAATGGCCAGTCACTGAGAGATATCATGGTGCTGGATGGTGCATTGCAGTCTCTGGTAAACACACATATATGCACTGATCACACCCAGTCCTGTGGTGGTGTGTGCACACGTGTCCCTGTAGAAAAACCTGCAGAGGGTAGTTTACAAGAGCTGACATGACTGGTATGTTTCACACAATACCTGCTGTGGTTTTGGCAGGTGCCTAATGCACCTGCTGCGTGTGTGGGTCCTGCTGCTTCAGGTGATTTATGTCAGTTTAATTCACAGCTTTAAGCTAAACGGTTCTTCAGCAAATGGGAATGGTGTTGAGGGAACTTAATTTCAGTGAAATTCACTCTTCCAGCCTTATGCCCCTCACATTTGACCTGTAATCATGTCAAATCTTTATATCTTTATTAATGGCAGGGGTGGGGTGTAGGGGTTCATCTCACTTCCTGTCAGCTAAGGTAATGTATTGCAGCCCTCAAGCAAGTACATTACATTTGTATCATTGGCACATAAACCTGCACAACATGTTTAGAAAGCGTCAGTGTGTACTTAATGTCTGTGAAGCGAACCTGGCCCCAGCCTATATGCTGCTTAGGGCATTCAAAACTGGCACTGTGTGTTGAGTCAACAAGCCTACAGGTGGTTTTTTGTGTGTACATAGATTGAAGGTAAAGTACTGCAAAAAAGATTCAAAACTTGAAATGACTTGGTATGATATTTGGTTTATGAAAGTAATTATATTTTTAGTTTGTTAGTAAAATTTCAAAATGTGTGATGCCTTCCCAGATATCACTGCTATTACGTGTCCCCTGATGTATCTGAGATCGATTTGGTTATCCTTTTTGTGTCCCATAGGCAAAGCTTTTCAAACACGGAAAGAGAGATGACCTCCTGCAGTACGGTATGTTCCCTTTTCCCTGTTACATGTATCAGCGGTTAAAGTAATGAAATCAAATGGATTTTCCATTAAATCGAATCAAGGATTTTTAGCAGGAAAGAAGCTTGGCTGGCCCCGGCCTAATTTCAATTTTAATATAATTTAGAACTGATTTATTGAACACTCAAAGAAATGCTCTCTGATGTTGTAATGTCAGTATCATATTTATTGTATGCAGAGCAACTTTGTGGTTTTGGATCATGGAAGCGGGGTGGCACAGTTAACGTGGCAGCCTTTAGAAGTTTCTGAACAGGACTTACTGGTGCATGTTATTGTCATAATTCTAGGCTCCAGTTGCTTTTGCTTGTGGTAACAGTATTATTTGAGTTCACAAATCTTTATCAACATATCCTCGGGGGGTGGTATTTGAATGTATCAGGTGATATTTTCCTAGTACAACAATAGAGACTTCCCATGAATTTACACGATCTAAGAGTTAACGTCTTTGAATAGCCATTGTAGTGAGAGTTATTTACAGCTGAAGGGTACTACAACCTTGCAAGATCAGAGATTTACTTTTTCTTAAGCTCTAGTCAGAGAGCTCCAAAAAACAAGTATATTCTTGTAGGTATTAATTAATTTATTAATTTCTATAATAAAATCCTAGTATTACAACATGTACTTATTATGTCTTTATGTGTTTCCCAGCTCCTACAGTTCTGCAGTGTCTGGAGCAAAAACATCTACCAGAGAGCAGTGAGGCCATGCTGAGGAAACTTGGTGTCAAACTAATCCAGAGGCTTGGCCTCACTTTCCTGAAGCCACGTTTGGCAACTTGGAGGTCAGACATAATGCCGTCCAGTTATATATAATGTTATACTGTTTCTACCACCAATGTGAGTCAGCTGATTTTTTATACTGCAAATTGTAGGAAACCTTCCCAATACTGACATAAATTGAACACCATGATCAGTTTATGGCTCCTTGTTCAGTTGGGGATTGTCCTTAGTGAGACCTGGTTGGATTAGAGAGGAGCGCAAAGCTAAATGTCTTAAAAAGTTTGTATAAATGTTTGTTTCAGGTACCAGAGAGGCAGCCGCTCCCTAGCAGCAAACCTTGCCATGTCCCAGTCTACTACAGCCACTGATGATGTGACTTCTGAAACAGAGATCCAAGAACAGGAGGAAGACTATGACATACCTGAGGAAGTGGAAATGGTTATTGGTCAGTGATTTTCTCCACTCAATGTAAGAAGTGTATTACAACAATACTTCTGCTCAGGAAATCATATGTGCATGTTATTTTTGCAGAGTATCTGCTAGTGGGACTGAAAGATAAGGAAACTATTGTGCGCTGGTCTGCAGCAAAGGGGTAAAAAAAAAAATCATCCTTGTTGATACTTGTCTTTGTTTTTTGTTATATCAAATATGCTCTACAATAATTGTCTATTTCATTTAAACCTTCAGCATTGGGAGGGTGACTGGGAGACTTCCCAAGGAGCTGGCAGATGAGGTTGTTGGATCAGTGATGGACTGCTTCAGGTGTGTTCATGTTGGGCGGGGGGGGTCATCCCTTTCTATCAATCACAGTGTGTTTTTCAAGTATTCCACTTGTCCACCCTGTATTCCTCTAACATGTTCTGTGTTTTGACCTGTGCTTTTTCAAGCTTCCAAGAAACAGATAATGCTTGGCATGGAGGCTGTCTCGCACTGGCTGAACTTGGTCGGAGAGGCCTGCTGCTGCCTTCCAGGCTGACACATGGTATCTGTCCACAAATTCACATTGAAATATTTATTATAGGATACATAGACTGTTGTAAAAAGCCATGTTGTGTTATTTCTTTATTCGGTATGTTTACATGTACAGTATATTACCATTTTCCATTTTCAATAAGAACCCCTGTAAAATGACTTCTCACCCTTTTCAATCATAAAAACAAGGTACATTATGCACATCTTTATGACAGCAAGTCTTTGCATTTAACATGTTTTTTTTACAGTTGATCTTGTTACAGTGCTATAGACATATCACACCCACTCCTGCCATTATAATCAGTGCTTAATTAACATTTTTTAACATTAATGTTCGGTGAGTTGATCTTTTCATGTTGAGGCTTGCAGTGGTGGAACATTAGAGATATTCTGTCCTTATTACCAAATATTATAACAGTCTGGGTTTAGTTATTAGCAGCAGCGAGGCCTCCTCCTCAGAGCCCGTCCTGCTGCTTTTGCTCTCTTGTTTGGTTTATGGCAGTTGTTTTCAGCTTGGCTACTGTTTGTTCTTTTCATGCCTGTTACCTTGGTGCACTTGGTCCTCTCTGGAGATCCAGGACTTCCAGCATCTGAGGAATCCTTTGGGGCCCTGTCTGTGGTGCTGAAGTCACATGAAGAGGCAGCAGAGCTTGCGATGGCTAGCTGACAGAGAGCCAGTGCTGCAGTCTGCCTCTGGTCACATGGTTCTTCATCCAGCTTGATGTCTGGCCCATTCTCAAGATCTTCTGAAGTGTTCAAGGCAGAGCTGTGCAAAGGGCTGCTGTCAGAGGCACGAAGGCTGAGGTTCAGTGGTAGCTCCTCCCCCTTTAATTTCTCTTTGTCAGAGCATATCAGTCTCGGGTCAGATGGACATTTTTCTTTGTCATGGTGTCTTGTTGAGAGGTTGAGGGGAGCCAGATCTTCGCTGCTGTCTTCATCATCAAGTTCTGGTGGAGTTTCAGGACATGGTTCAGAAACAGACGTTGAGGAATATCTGTTGGTCTCAGCTGATCTGGAAGTCACACCAAAAAGAAAAAGTTAAAAAACTACCACTATTACAAATACAGTGACCTGCAGTTAAGACAAAAATGACAATTTCTTTTTCTTGGTAGATAAAAAAAAACAAAACAAAATTTGGCGTTTTTACTTACCCCCTGTCTACATGCAGAGTTCTTAACTGCAGCAGGCTTTCTACAGACTCCTCCTGTCTTAAGTCAGCATGCATGGATTGCACAGCTGTGGTTGTGTGTCCTAGTTGGGTGGTTGTGTCTGCTTCACCCATGTTGGTGTAGTGTGGGGCCTCTGTGCCTCTCTGTATGCTGTGTGCATGGGTGGGTCTGTCAGGTGACCCTAAGGCTGAACACCCCTCTTTAGGGCTCAGCCTGGTTGCTTTGTCCCCTGTTTGCCCGTGGTTGCTCTGCCCTTGTGTAGATGCGTTGAGGATGGGATGTGAATGCATGTATAAATCATAATCCTTATGCTCCAGAGTCTGGCCATAGAAATCCAAAGGAATATATCTGGGTCCTGTAATTGGCATGGAGAGCTCATGTGGTCTGTATAGGGTATAATGCAGAGGGGGGCCTGGGTGAAGTGGGTGGCAGTATCTATATGTGTACGGAGGAAAGAGAGAAGCGTGAGGTGGAGCAATGGGTTGTGGTACCACAGGCCTCTGGGGATCTAGAATCTCTGGCCGGAAAGAAGGAGAGTTTGACTCATTTGCATGGTGATTTCCTGGGAGGTAATATGGAGGATACAGGGGCCGGTCAGGCAGGATATAAGGGGGGTACTCAGGAACTATGGGAGGGGGGAATGGTTTTAAAGGAATGGATGGTGGACCTGTACCCCATGGAAAACCTAGATGGTTGAAAGCAGGAGCCGGAGTTTGCAGATCTTCTGAAAGTTGCACAGATGACTTGAAGGCTTCGGCTCCGTCACGGTTGGGTGTGACAGGGGAGAAGGCAGATGGGCGCGGTAGAGGCTTAGCCTCATTGCTCTCTCTGTTCTGTCCTTCTGTAACTGTATTTGGTTTTGCCACATTTGGGCTGTCCTTACTGACTGGACTGTCGCACTCAATGTCTATTTCTTCTGTGCCGTCTCTGCTGTCAGCTTTGCTCTCCTCAGCTCCCTGTTTCTCAGGTCTGTTGTTCTGAACTGCTGGCTGGGGGCTTGGACAGTCCTTAGATTTGACAGGGGCTTCCTTTGCTACAGCCTTGACCTGCCGGCCCGTTTGCCCATTTTTCTGTTGCACCAGGGAAATGGAGTTTTTGCACAAATTGTATTTCATGTGGTTGAAGAGATGGGACTTTTCATTACAGGTGAAAGGACATTGGAAACACTGGTACTTGAAGGGCTTCCCTGGTGGTCGGGGAATGTAGTGGGGCCTTTTTGGCTTGCGTTCCTGAGCAGTCTCCATCTTGATTCTAATGCACGCTTTCTGAAAGAAAAATACACAGATACAGTTAAACAATTAGCAGTTGTTTACATTTCTAAGTTTGTATTTTTATACATACCGAAGCTGTTGTACTAAAGTATATGAGAGCAACCAGTGAATCATGGCAGGTTTTGCACTAGATTATCACTGAGTAATGGGGCTAACAGAGTTGTTTGACTGGTTCAGGTGGAGAGTGGCTCCCATTGGTTTTCCTCTCACTTTTTATTTAGCTGCTTGGCCAAAAAAAATCTCTTAACTACACCAAACACTGCACCCTCAGGCTAATGTATTTCTGCAACTGTTAGTCCACACAAGGTAGAGCATCAAATAAAGAAATGGATAAATATGAAAACCTGAACCTGTATTTAAAAATACACCCGAATGTTTGCATAGGTGGACTCGTGTCTTAGTGCAGTTTTGGCTGATTGGCAGTGCCTACTTGACCTGCCTGTTCCCCAGTCTGTCATTTTGATACGACTCCCTTCATCTGTCCCGTAGAGACAGAGAGTCACGAAGGTACTAGGTAGGCAGGTGCTGGGCAGACTAGGCTCTTACTAACACAGACCTGGAGGGCATGCAGAGACTTGCTTTCTCTCTCAACCTTACTAAACTCTGTGGTGTCAGCGTGGGAACTACCAGCCACCTGCTTCCCATGACAACACCTGCGGGATGCACTCGGTTCCCTTTAGTCATTTTAATGAGTTCACCGCCGCTAGAAACTCTTAAGTACGAGAAGAAATTGTTTAATATTTTTTAATTTAACGGACCAGCTGTGTAGTAGGTGGCAGCACTTCAGGTTGGCCTATGAAATGAAACATCACCTAAAGCTGTGAGTTAAGTGTTGCTGGGCGTCACATGGAGGAACCTGCTTGTCATGAACTGTCGCAAGAAGTTGTCACTCAAGTTTCTGTCCAAGTGTAGAAGCACGCAAAGCCGCTCCCTTCTTAAGGACTAAATTTTATTTAGAAAAATCCCCATTTAACACTCGCTCTTAACTGTGAGTTTAACCTAGTAAAAACTTTTTGTTCATCATAACCTATGTTCATTAGTGAACATAGGTTATGTGTTTTTTAAAGAATTTTTTTCTGTAACAACATTTTTATTAATACTCAAATAATATTAGAAAAACCTTTTATCCAATTAAAAAGCTTTAGAAGGTTTTCTGCAGAGGTCAGGTACTTTCAGTATGACCTGTGCATCAATAATGGCAGTGGAAGCAGTGCATAATTAAAATCCACAGGTGGCAGGTAACTTTTACCAACACTAAATGCACCTTACACACTAGTGGCAGTACTTTTACAAACCACTACTATTCTTGTCCAAAAACACAGAAAAGCTTTGATGTAGTGCCGTTTCCTTGTTAATGAAGGGAGAATTAAAAAGAAAAACATTTACCTGCTCTGGATCTAGCAACAGTGTGTTCTCCTGTTTGGTTCGCAGAGGGCAGCTCCACACTCAACAGCCAGTGTAGATACCTTGTCGTTGTTCCACTATGTGCTCAGAGCTCAGAGTGTGTTTGTGAATGTGTGTGATGGTGCATGTGTTAGTGATGTTAGTTGTGTGGTTAGTTCCTGTCTCTGAGGTGTTGTCTCACCAGAGGGTGGGGCTTCAGCCTAAACAGCAGGGCCCTCAGGCAACACTGATGCACCTGATATTAGTCAAGCCTCAAGCGATGATTTACATGATGGGGTGGGGTGGGGGCTCTTGCTCCTTCCTTTTTCCTGCTCGTTCTCTCTCTTTTGTGAAAATGACCACGTAAATATCATTCTCTAGCTCCTGAAAATAACCTGCTCGTTTACATTGACACATCAAGTTTCAAGTGAAGTTCAGCGGTGCACTGGCAAGACCAGTGTGACATTTGCATACTCACAGGTGCAACTGCTGATGCTCTTGTTTAGTTTTACTTCACTGGGTAAGCAGTGTTCAAAGTAAGTAATACTGACTTGCCAAGATAATCATTTTGTGTTTTCTTTGTATATTACACATAAGTACTAATTACTAAATATCTATCTGTGAGAACACTGATATCACTGATGTTCTTACAGTGAAAAATTTAACAATGTGGGCAGGCAGTAGCTTGCAATAGGTTGGCATCAAATTGTCAGCTGAAACTGATATTCACCCATATTGTTGTGCCACACTGATGTTTTTCTAATAGAAAGCTATTTGGCATTTGCTTTGCCTTGGTGCATTCTTACTTTTTTCTGTTGCTTTCAGTCAATTCTGTATAATTTTCAAGCAAGCACACCGCAAAACAGTTTTCCACTTATTTTTTTTAGTGCACCGCAAAAGGATAATTTTAAATCAGTAAAATCTGGAAGGCTGACCACAGTTCAGAGGCTCAATATGTGGAAAATACAAATATTCATGCATAATAAAATATACATCCTTCATTCTTATGGCATAAACAGTCAATTCAGTGTGCACAGTCACATAATTCAGTGAGGTGTTAGTGGTTTTCGTCCAAGGATTCTGGCCACGTGTGAAGCTAAAATATAGCTGCTAATCTGTAAGATTGCATACAGTATGTGTAACATTTATATGTCTTAGCTTTTATTCTTTGGTCTTAGTATTGCGTGTGTGTGTGTGTTTTTGAGATTAACCAGTCATCTCATTATGTTTCTACTTGCAGTTGTGCCACTCATTATCAAGTCCCTAACCTATGAGGAAAAGAGGGGGGCATGCAGTGTTGGTTCCAATGTGCGTGATGCTGCATGCTATGTGTGCTGGTCTTTCGCCAGGGCTTATGAACCGAAGGAGCTCAATCCTTTTGTCACTCAGATTGCCAGGTAAACCTCTTTTTCTCTCCTTTCCTATAAAGCCAACACAGTCATAAATTGCTACAAAACCACACCAGGAACACATTTTTTACTGTCAACTAGACAGCTGACAGGAAAAGTCAAAAGCCAGGGGCAGCTGCACCTGTTTTCATCTCCCATTAGCTGTTTGTAATGAAAACTGACATTTCCTCCTTGTGTAAAATGTATGTTACATGTATGTAACATCACTGGCGTGCCATAGTTGCAACTCTCAGCAACATAATGTCTTCACCTTCATGACAGAGAAGGAAAACACAATACAAATATGATATGTACTGTATCTATATCTGTATAAATGATATGCACATAAAACTAATGCAGTCTAATCCGGCAGTTCTGCAGTAATACTCTCTGCATGAAGGTGATGACGTTCAGGTTTTCATTCATCTCTATGATTACTGTGGAAGATATAGGTTGTGGCTCTGTTGCATTGTGTTGCAAATACTGACGGACCTCGCCTTCATTTTGGCCACCCATTTATCAATAAGGATAGGCTAAATAACAGTCACACCTCCCAGTATAATGCAGTACATTTTTTAGGTTGTAGCTCATTGTGAATGACGTTGTCATTGTAATTTGCATAGACATTACATGGTTTGCCTTTAAGCAGTTCTTCTGTAGTTCATTCTTGTATTTCCTTATGTAATAGTACATGTGCTAGTTTGTTTTTGTGTTGTTTTGTGTCTACATTTTGAATTACATTTTAATTATAAAGACATACTGTGGCATTTTATGACTGGTATGCAAAGGCGATCATGTTGTCTGACTCTGAAGGTAATTAATAGCATTTGCATTTATAAATGCTAGGCATTTCATCCATGCATTAACTATACTACTTATCTTGAAGAGGGTCACGGGGGGGCTGGAGCCAATCCCAGCTGACTTTGGGCAAGAAACAGGGTCCACCCTGGACAGGTTGCCAGTCTATCACAGGGCTGACACAGACAACCAGAGACAGACACCCACACTTACTCCTACAGGCAATTTAGAGTAACCAGTCAACCTAAGCTGCATGTCTTTGGCCTGTGGGAGGAAGCCAGAGTACCTGGAGAGAACCCACACAAGCACAGGAAGAACATGCAAACTCCGCACAGAAAGGCACTGGGTCGGCCTGGGCTTGAACCCTGAACCTTCCTGCTGTGAGGCGACAGTGCTAACCACTGCACGCTAGGCATTTCAGTCAGGAGATGTATGTTTGTCTGATATGTTTTCTCTTTCTATGAAACTTTCACCACTCTCATGAGGTTTGTTTTGTTGTTGTTGCTTTGTGCTCAATCTGCTACATTAACAATATACCTCCATAATTTCATTGATCCAAATATCCCAGAAATCTCCTCCGGGACACTGATGGGAGAGTTGTGACCTCAGCTGAGTTTTCAGACATTATTGTTGAGCTTGGAAGAGACTTGTACTTTTGGGGAGTTCTTGTTCATTTGTTTTTTATTATTATTTTTTTGCATTATAGCCACTAAAGATTTGGTTGTAAGGGTCATGTCATGCAAAAAGATTGAATTTCAGAACTAACATCTGATCACCAGCTAGTGAAGAGGAACTAAGGTGCAGTATCACCTAGAGAAACTCAGCATGTTCAGTCTTTGTCAGTAGTAACGGCTTGAACTTTTTTCTCGGTATGCATGTATGGACCTGTGGCCTCTGACTGTGCAGACCAGCTCTGCTGTGTCAGATTGAACCCCTGCGACTAGCATTATCGTCAGCAGTTGCAACAACACCCTCCCTTTCCCTAGCCTACAGGATTGCCAGGTTTCGCCTGTTACTGTAGGTTTCGGTCGCCGTTTGGCAGCAAGGCTTAGACAAGCTGATTCCTGCTCTAGTCATCACAGCTTGATGACATTTGCAGCAAACTCACTGTTATAAATGTGGGACTAAGGGACTTAAGGTCACCCACATACAGACACAGTTCCAGATACACTGTGTGCTTATTAGTTGTAGCAATCACAGACGTATTTTAGAATATCCTCTAGCTGCGTTATCCAGAATACAGTCTGGAGCCCTCAGGGCAAGAGCAGTTAGCAAAGGCCCAGGCCTGAATCTTACTGTTATGAGGCAGGGAAAATGGGAGGAGAGCAAACAAGGCCAACAGTAGTTAGACTCAGATTGTCACTTCACATCCCTCCCAGTGCAGAGTGGGAGCATGTTGAGGTCAAAACATAATCACACACTACTTCAGTACTGACGGGGAATCATGGTTAATCACATTCTGTGTTTAGCTGCTGTGCTGGGAACCTGCACACTGCAACAGAAAATCAGTTTTGTGGTGACGATGTATCCTAGACATATACATCATGAGTCACTGATGCTTAACAAATGATTAGGATGTTGATACTGTTGGTGCACTGTAACAGGACCACTCTATAAAGTTAGTCATTAAAATAAATGTTGGGAAAATGGAGACGATGTGCATAAATACTTTTCCAAGCTGCAAAAAGTTTTGTTCAGCGGGATCATAATCAAGCTAGAAAAATGGAGTAGTAAGTGTTTATTACAGAATATTGTCTGGAAAAATACATATTGAAATAGTTCACTGTCAGTAAACGGTGCACAAAGATACACTGCCTTTTATCAGACAGCTACAGTACATCTTCCAGTCCACACTTTGTGTTTATCTCTGCAGTGCTTTGCTGGTCACAGCTGTGTTCGACCGAAATGTCAGCTGCCGAAAAGCTGCTTCTGTGAGTTTTCAGCATCCTGCGATCATTTGACTAAATATATACAGTTACACGACAGAAGTTAATTTTTGTCTCATTTTGTCCCAGGCTGCCTTCCAGGAGAATGTTGGCAGACAGGTTTGTGGCACCAGTATTGACTACTTGTACATTATGACAAATAGAATTACCGTGATTAAGTACTGCAGTCTTGCTCAAACTTGCCTTGTTAGTGAGAGTTTTTGAAGTAAAAACTATCCTCCCAGTGCAGCTACAGGCCACCAGCAAGCACATGATTTTCCCAAAAGTCTTTGAATCATAAGTCTTTCTTAAATTCTGAAGTCATTACTTGAATTTGCAAGGAAATGGATTATTTTGCATCTCAGTGTTGCTCAGTGTTGAACATTCTGAACAGTTTTTACTAAATACACTGATAATGTCTCAGCTGTTTGTTGCTTCTTTGTGTCTCAATAGGGGACATTTCCTTACGGTATTGACATCGTAACAGCAGCAGACTACTACGCTGTTGGGAATCTCAACAACTGCTATCTGAACATTAGGTAAGAAACTTTATTCACACAGGCGGCTCACAAGGGCTTGTCCTTTGCAGTCACATGTTCTTAGCCATAGTACTGAAGCGGAGCTGCACCTGGTTACATGTTTAGGACGGTATGCTATAGAAGTGTAAAGACTAAAATGGGAATGGCAGCTGACAGATTGTACAGAGGTCAGTTTTCACTTGTAGTCATCTGGTAGGAAATGTCCCTGTGCACAAAAAAGTGACAAATAGAAATTAGTCCAACTTTGTGATAGAACTTCTATGATTGTAAGTTATTAAAGTGCCTAAAAATATGCAGCTTTTTAAAGAGTTACAGTGTTATATTGCATATTATAATCTGGTGGTGATATTGCCAAATAACCCAAACATGAAGCTTGAAGCTCCTGAATACCCCCCACGGCCATTGCTTATGTTACTAGAAATAAGCAGTTTACTGCTCACACAGCCTGCTTTTCCCTTATTTGTTTTAAAAGATTATCCAGGAGTGAGACCTGCAAACTAGCTTCAATTAGACACATTATATACGGTACATCATATCATACGTGTAAATCAACAGAAACAGAGAAAAGCTCCAAACCTTTCAAGAAATGTGCCACCGCTGGCAGAGCAAACATTCAAGCTGTGAAAATGAAGAAAAATGCAGCCTCGGGGTACAACTGACTATAAATGAAAATAATTGAATAAAGATGTAGAGAGATTAAGAGATTGCTGATGTTGATTTTGTTTCCATGTAGGAATGGATTCAGAGATGTGTCAAAAGCTGGTATTTACTCTTTGTGTAGTTGAATGTGTTTTTTTGTTGTCCACACAGTGTTTACATAGCTAGTTTCCCAGAGTACACCAAAGCGATGATAGACCATTTAATAACCATGAAGATCAACCACTGGGATGGGTAAGTGTCCTGCCCTCATAATGTCAGCAAATTTTTAAAAACTCATAGTTTTGTTTTTAATGCCTTAAACAAAAACACCTTCTTTTTTTTTTATATGTCCTTTCCAGTGTGATCCGAGAGCTCGCCACTAAAGCACTCCACAACCTGACGCCTCAAGCACCCGATTATATGGCAACAACAGGTAGACAATGTCACCTTACCTCTTTCTCTTTTCCTGTACAGTAGGGCTTTCAATGAAAGAGAGAAATGACGTTTGGAAATTGACTGTAACCTATAATAATTGTTCATGAGTAGATATACCATGCTCTTTCTTCCTTGTTGCTTTCAGTTTTGCCACAGCTGCTACCAGTGGCGGTGGGCATTGACCTCCATGGTCGCCATGGAGCCATCCTGGCGTGTGCAGAGATCACACACGCTCTGTACAAACTGGGCTTTCAGACCAACAGGTAAAGCAGCTTAAGTTGTATAGCTCATTTCAAACACACAGGCAATTCACAGTGCTTTACACAGGTACTGAGAAGCAATAGAACAACATTACAAGCAAGAATAAAACCAAACATGACAGGATAAATTACAATAATACAAACTAGGAATGGGCAATGATTTCCAAATATTTGAATAGTCATTAAATGGAAATAAAATTGAGTATTTCATGTGACTGTGGATTTGGTTTTAAAAACAAAGAGCCACTGTTGTCCTTTGCTTTTACTGGCTCCTGGAAATGACATAACAAGGGCAGTCTATTATTTTACTACCGCC